TTCTCCTGACATTGGACACTGGGAGGGTCCTGGTTCTTGGCTCTTTGAGTCTGATTGGGAGTCACACCATCAGTTCCCTTGGTTCTCAGGCCTTTATACTTGGTCTGAATTTCACCATCAGCTTTCCTAGTGCTCTAGCTTCCAGACAACTGGTCCTTCATAACCACGTAAGCCAATTCCCGTAATAAATCTCCTCTTCTATAGATCTCTCTCCAAGAGAGGAAGGAGTGTGACTCCCCCCGCTCCCAGCAGGCAGGTCGTTTGGCTGTGTGTCTGCTCCCGCCTAGAGGGAGTCCCCACAGTGGCTTCCCTCTTCACGGTTAGGTTTCGGAGACTGCAAAGCCACTTTTCTATCCCAGAGGCCTCCCTGCCACTGCCCAGCCGCGCTGCTCTGCTGTGCGTGGCAAATACAGTCTTGAACCCTCACCTCTGCATTTCCTGCAGGCACTCAGCAGCAGAATCATAGACGCTGTGCTCCACATGCCAAGAGGCATTAACAGCCACTGTGTAAACACTGGTGACCTTCTGGCAAGCTGTCTTGTCCTGTCCAACTTGGAACAGTGGCCCGGAGAGGCGCTCTGCTGCATCATGGCCAGAATAGCAATGACACAGGATGGTCTGAGCACAGTCCTGCGCCTCCACCTTATTAACTACGGGAAGAGAGGATGAAGGGCTCTAGAGGTTAATGGAGAAGTGCCTGCAAATGCCTCGGCTGTGTGGAGTGATATGCCATGTCAGCAGGGATCTGAAGACCATCCAGTTGCACGGACCCCTGGGGGAGTACCCCTGGCCATCACAGTTTCTCTAAGAAGCTCAGTGCCATGAATGTGGCAGAAAATCTCTAAGGAGCCTTCAGACAGCATCTGAAAGTCATATTCCAGCCCTAGGGTGCAGACAGGACCCTGGCACTGAGGGTCCATGGTCTGCACCATGGCTCAAGTGAAGCACAGCTTGCCATTTTGGAGGTTCTTGACTTCAGAGAACTGTGAGGTCCAGGGCAGGGACCTCAGGCCTGACCTGGCCCATCATTTGTTTTTGTACGTACGGTTTCATCTGCATACAGACACACCAGTGTGCAGGAACTGTCGTTGACTACTCTTGTGCTACAACAGCACGGCAAAGCTAAGTAGTTCTAACAGGGGCCGTAGGCCCACAAAGAAAAAGATTCACAGTCTCGCTCATTCCAGAAAGTGTGCCAACCTCAGGTCTAGGGGATAAAACATGGGCTCGGGGGCAAGACAGGTCCTGGGAACAATGGGAACCTGGGGCAATTTAGCCTCACTGCACCTCACTTCAGCTTTCTTATCTGTAGAATGGGCTCAATGATATTTACCCCACCATGAGGTGGTGGGGATGAAGTGATACGATTTCTTGGCACATGCGACCTATTCAATATGAATCCTCTCTCTGCTTGCTATGAAGTGGGGTTTGTGATGGTTGCCCTATCTGCTTCAAAAAGTGGTTGTGATTTTAAGTAGATATGAAAGCACTCTGAAAAGTTAAAGATGCTCTGTTGTGGTAAGACTGTCCTACAAGTATTATTCTTGAGATGAGAAATCTGGAGCTGCCAGCCAGGCTAAATCAAAATACAGTAGTTCCATGTTGATTGACGTGTCATGGGGAAGCCTGAGAAGCCATGGATTTGGGGGGACCCAGTGCCCCTTTGTGATGAGTCATGTGCATCCCCACTGGGCACTCTGGGGGGTGGCCTGCTTTCCCAGCAGGGCTGCAGCCCATGTGAGCTGTGGGGCCTTAGGCATTTCCTCGGCTTCTCTGAGCCTCAGTTTCCCCACTTGAAAGACAGCACTGCCAACGGAAGTGTGGTGAGGATGTAATGAGACACGATGACATAGAAAGGCGGTTCTAAAAATGTTAGGTCTTATTTTCATCTCAATTCTAGTTATCGCTGGAATGAACAGCTGAGAGGGTGCGAGTGACTTGCACAAGGGTCCGAGCTGGAAAGACAGGAAAATGAAAAGAAGGCAATGGTATGTAGTAATAGCTTCTAACCCGGCTCCTGAAATAGATCCGGCCCCCAGAGAGGGGAGCAATTCTCCATTTCTGGGCAAAACCTGCGTGACCCAGAGCAATGACAAACGGATCCCTGCACACCCTACGAGCAGCCGACACCACTCTCTGGAGGCAAAGAATCCTTTAAAATCCATTCCCCCTGGGCGTGGAATTACAGTGGAAGTCTCATGAGTTTATGCTTTCTCTAGTGGTCTGGGTTTATTATTTAACCCCATGAAACTGCTACTGAAGAACAGTGAACTGAGAAAGGAACTATAAGATTTTTCAACTTTATAAAGAACGCCTTGGTGCAAGCCAAGGGGCCTTACTGCATCCAAAATGGTTCAAGAGTCCTTAATTTTAGTGCAATCCACACAGCATTCTGTCTGACCTAGGTTAGAGGGCCTTCCTGCTCTCTCCTGTCCTGTTGAACTTAAGGGACACAGAAGTTTGGGGGATGCAACCCTCGGGCCACCTGGTTCTCTCTTCAGAATTCTGGGACACCCCCAGCCTGTCTCTGCCAAACATACCCCTAGAGTATAAGCCCCAGCTTGGCTTCCAGACAGGCACACACAGCCCCAGACAGGACAGCTGCTGCCCTTCCTGCAAGGGTGAGAGGTGATAGTGGAGATGAAATGATCTATTTTCTCTATTATTAAAATTAAGCTTCTATATGGTACTATAAGGTGGATAAATGCCATTATACATTTGTCCAAACTCACAGAATGTACAACACCAAGTAAGAGTGAACCTTCATATAAACTGTGGACTCTGGGTGATAATGATGTGTCAGTGCAGGGTCATTGGTTGTTAACAAATGAACCACTCTGGTGGGGGCATGTTGACAGTCTGTCCGGGAGGCTGTGTCTGTGTGGGGACAGGATGTATATGGGAACTCTCTGTACTTTCTGCTCAATTTGCTCTGAACATAAAACTACTCTAAAGTCTATTAAAAAATTCAATTCACAATTGCAAAGACATGGAATCAACCTAAGCGCCCATGAACTGATGAGTGGATAAAGAAAATGTGGTTACATATATATACACCATGGAATACTACTCAGTCATAAAAAAGAACAAGATAATATCTTTTGCAACAACTTGGATGGAACTGGAGGCTATTAGTCTAAGTAAAGTAACTCAGGAATGGAAAACCAAACCCTGCATGTTCTCACTTACAAGTGGAAGCTAAGTTATGAGTACACAAAGGCAGCTAGAGTGGTACAATGGGCAATGGAGACTCAGAAGGAAGGGAGGATGAGGGATGAAAAACTACCCACAGGGTACCATGTACACTACTTGGGTGAGGGGTACACTAAGATCCCAGACTTCATCACCACAAATTTCATCCATGTAACCAAAAGGTATTGAAATAAAAACATCAAAATTAAAAAGAAAAAGAATGAGCCAAGTGTGGTGGCTCATGCCTGTAATCCCAGTACATAGGGAGGCAGAGGTGGGAGGATGGCTTGAGTCCAGGAATTTGAGATCAGCTGGGGCAACATAGCAAGATCCCATTCTCCACAAAACGGGAGAAAAAAATAATGTAAAAAGATTCTAAGACCAAACATTTTGAGATCCACTATTTTATGAATATATTTTCTAAAGTATAACTTGTTCATGTTGAATTCTTTTCAATTCAATTGTATTCAACTGAAAGGGGAGACCTTCTCTCTCTACAAAAAACTTGATTTTTGCCTTTATTCACTCTCTCCAACAAATGAGCAGGACACACAGAGCCCTTCGTAATGGTGACTGAATTATAAGAGAGAGGATAAAACCAGATGATGACAGAATGAAACAGACATGTTAAATACACTCCTTTGATGACATGGAATAATACCTACTCATAAGCAAATTTAAGTGCTTTCCATTAGTCCATGCTACAAAGTCAACTCTGAGATTTAAACAAGCCGTGACTATATTCAATGCTATATATATGCTATATATACTATATACTAATGCTACTCAGGCAAGCGGCCTGTTTTTGTAAAGTTTTATTACTCACACACACACACACACACACACACTCACACAAATTGAAGCTAGAGGTAAGCTGACCATGAAATCAACTGAGCAGCCCTTTCACCAAAACAGTCCCAACTATAGCATGTTGGTACTACAATTGTTTATGGTGGAGTTTGGTCAACAGCTCAAATGCTTGTCTGTTTACAGATAATATCTTATTTTTCCAAAACACAGGAAATAATGTCTCTGTGCCAATGCCACCCCCACCCAAATCACAGTATCATTTTGCAAAATGTCAGAAAAATATCTTTCTCCGTCTCAGGAATGGCTAAACACAACTGTCCTTGAGAAAAGTCCCAGCAATGTTTTTACAGAGTGCCGTGGTAAATTGCCCTACCTGATGTCTCATTCACATGAGAGGACTTGTTCTTCATTCCTGCCAGCTGTGACGGGCCAGCAGGAGTTAGGTGACTCCACATGCTATTAGACAAGAAGGTAAAACAACAAACCAACAAGCTTTGATGTCTGTATTTTAAGTATCACTGTCTGTGCAAGCTACATGGCCACCCGTCCAATGACTGTGCCTGGAGTGAATGCAAGGTGGTGGATGGCACTTGCTCAGCTGCTACTCACAACCCTGGGGTACGTGGAAGGAGAAAACAGGAGAAGAGAGAGGAAGAGAGGGAGAGGAAAAAGAAAGAGGCAGGGAGTGGGAAGAGAGAGGGGAAAGAAGTTGGGGAGAGAGGGGAAAGGAGGAGGGAGGGGAGGCAGAGAAAGAGGGAGAGAAAGAGAGAGGGAAAGAAAAAGAGGGAGAAAGAAAGGGAGAGAAAGAGACAGAAAGAGTAAAGGAGACAGAAAAAGATAAAGTGAAAGAGAAAAGCAAGGGAAGCAGGGAGGGGAGAGAGAAAGCAGAAAAAGAGAAAAAGAGAGGAGACAGAGGCAGAGAGAGAGAAAGAGAGAGAGAGGGAGAGAGAGATATTTCTACAATCCATATTCCTTCTTTTTCTTCTACAATCTCTGCTACATTCTAATTTGCTTTTTTTTTTTTTGCATTAGGAAGGAGATATTTTTTTCTTTTCTTTTGAGAAGAAATATTCCTTTTATTCCTGAAGTTGGGAGAAGAAATCTGACAGTTACTGAACAAGTTATTTCACTCCTCGGCACTGAGCAAAGAGAAGTTAAATGTTTCTCAGAGAGAGGTGCAGCAAAAGGGGAAAGCCTGTAGGAGGAGGGCATGGCAGATCTGGAAGAGAATCAAAGTCAAGTTCACAAGGTAGGTCTGGAGAGAGAGAAAGAGCTTTGCCAAACTTAGTCTGTGAGTTTAAAAATAAGGTTGTTTGATGGGCACTGAAACACCCATCTGTTGGGTGCATGTTCTTCTCTACAGAAAGCATTTGCTCTTGGAAGTCCATCAAGAGGGAAGCATTTCATATCGAATGGACAGGCGTAGCAGCCCCAGTCTGCAGTTCCCTCAGGCATGGCAAGCTGGGACCTCTCACTCATCATTTGTTTTCCTTGCCCTTCTCCCTCCATCACTGCACACGCTGGAGTCACCTGTTTACACTCTCACTCGCTCACTCTCGTTGTCTCAGCAAACCAGATCTTGCCCTACAGGACGTCTGTCTTTGTTTCCGCCTTCGTCTGTCCCATTCTGTGTGTAACTCTTTCCCTGTGCCATGTCTACCACATGACTTCCCTCCTCTTTCTCCCTAACACTCAGAACCCAGCAAACAAGAGGTGCACTGCATCACCGAGGCATGTGGGTACTTACGACAGAAGGAAGGTATTCACATCAACATCTAAGGTGTATTGTATGATGCACCTTGCGGAAATACCAAATACTGCAAGAAAAAACCAAAACTGATAAAAGTTCAAACTTTTGTGATGTTTTAGAAATGGGGTAGTCCCTCTGGGTACAGGCATTGAGCAACCTGCAAGGCAGAGGGAGAAATTCCCCAAAGAGCAAAGCCGTCTGTGCAAGGAGCTGTGAGAGCTGTGATGGAGAGTGGAGTCTTTACAGACGTGGGCAGAGTGGGACCTAGGTCATGGTTCTTCTTTACCGTTGACATTCTTAGGGCATCTACTTTTTGCAGAGTGTTACTACCCGGGGAAGCTGCATGCTGGGCACCCTCCCTATGAATTAGGAAGAATTTGGCCATGACTAAGCTACCTTCACACCTCGAATTCCCGAGAGAAATATGCACAGGGAACCCCAGGCAAACAGACGGGGTTCATTACTGTCTGGCTTGGGCCCTTTATCATCTGACATTCTCCCAGCAAGCTGGACTGAGTCTCAATCATCCCTTTGACTTTTTTGCTCTGATATCCTTGGTTCCTTTTTCTAAGGTCTTGAGATATTAAGGCTTCAGTGGCTGCACAGGTCAAGTAAAGAGAAATCTGCTCACTGTAAGTTCTGCTGGGCTTTGGTATGTGAGGGGCTGGGCTGGGGACAGCAGAGGTGAGCCAGGCAAGGGAGGGGTGAGGGGGGCAAGGAGAAAGTGGTTTGGACCCAGTCTTGCCCTGTCACACCAGCTACCCAGGAGAGAGCCTTCCTTAGAAGGGGAAAGGAATTGAAGCAGGTGTTGCCCATTATAAGATTCCACTTATAATCCCTCTCCTCCTTCTGTTGAAGACTTTTTTTTCTTTTTTTTTTTCACAGAGGCTTAGTTGAGTGTTCCCGGAATCCATGAAATCCTCCTCTTCACTTGAGGGTGTGGGGATGAGAGTGGGGCAGGGAAGAGAAGTCACTCTGAGCTTCTCCAAGAGGGAGGACACAGCATCGCAGCCACAGACTTCCCACACTCCTTGGGACACCCTGATACTGACCAGTGGCACGTCCTCTCTGTGTTGGATTTCGCCATGAATCTACATCACAGGCTGGGCTGGCACTGAGAGGCACATCTCAGGAGGGTCAAGAGCTTATGAGTTTTCTCCCAGCAATGGCGAGCCCTGCTGCAGGGTAAATCAGTAAAGAGGCAGGAGTGAGCCCCAGACAGCACAGGTCAATTAGACCTGGGTGGCAGCAAGGGTGGTCCAAGGGACTTGTGCTCAGATATGAACTGGGGCAGTGGGTTAGGCTTCAGTATCTCTTTGAGGCCATAAATGGGTGGGAGAGGGGAAGAAAGTACACGTCAAATCTTGCATTCAGTCAGAGATCCAGAGAGGGTGCCCAGGGGGCTGAGCCCCGAAGTTTATGCACAAGCCAAAGTATTTTGATATACATAGTTTTGAGATGGGGTCTCACTCTGTCACCCAAGCTGTAGTGCAGTGGCATGATCACGGCTTGCTGCAGCCTCAACCTCCCAGGTTCAAGTGATCCTCCCACCTCAGCCTCCTGAGTAGCTGAGACAACAGGTGCATGCCACCACACCTGGCTAAGTTATTATTTTTTTTGTTTTACATTTTCCAGCTGCTAGCCACTGGACAATTTTTGTATTTTTTGTAGAGATGGGGTTTCTTCAGGCTGGTCTCAAACTCCCGGGCTCAAGTGATCTGCCTGCCTTGGCCTCACAAAGAGCTGGGATTACAGGCATGAGCCACCGCACCCGGCCTCTAGGAATTTTGATGGAGAGTCACTAGAAGAGCCCAGGAAGAGGCATAATTTGCCAAAAAGATGGGAAGCAGCATAGTGTAGCTCTAAGTGCAGTGTAGCATCAACCTCTGCAAAAAGACAGATTTGGATTAAAAATCACGCCCCAGAATCTACTACCAGTTTGATCTCGAGCAAGGTACTTCACACTTCTGTGCCTCCTTCCTCCATCTGTAAAGTTGGGATCATAATACTGCCCACCTCGTAAGGCCACTGTGGGATAAATGAGATAAGTGAAAACACTTAGCCCAGTGGCTGGCACAGAGTAAATCGCAAAAAGTAACTGAACCAAGGCTGATAATTCTTCCTGTTGAGTGTAGAATGACAGTATGAGTGGAAGGTGAGTGCTGAGAGCAGGAGGACACTACAAAGTAGCTGCAGTGTCTGGAGCCTGGGCCACCACCACTGAGGGTCACAGAAATGGAGAGAAGCAGGAAAGGCTGGATCCAAGAGAGATGGAGGAATAGCCCGACCCTGTTAATTTAACATTTTACGGATGGCATACATGGCATTGTTGACAAAGACAGACGTTGATCCACACAAAGAGAAAAGATACCCAGTTTTATAAGTGATAATGGTGTTTCAGCTTTGATGTGTGTCCAATATGTATAACATGTACACTTGGGTTAAAGTTGCCTCACAGAGCAGAGAACAGCTGCAGTGAAAGCCATAGGGTCTCAGGAAGACAGGACCAAGGCTATTGGCTAGTCAATCATTTTCAATCATTTGAGTTAACAAGGGGCTCAGTGCTTCCTGATGCTCTTGGTTAGCTGGGACCAAGAGCCTCAAGAACACTTGGGGATCACTGTAAGTAGAGTGACCGTATGTTCTGGGTTGCCCGGGACAGTCCTGGCCTGTGCTTATTGTCCTAGCGTAATAGGAATAGTGTCTTTCTCATGCTTCTCGTACCCTGGCTTGGGTGATTCATATTTAACCCAACTCGAAGGGAGAATTCCACATGTGAAGTCTCCAGGTTCTCCCTGGGCAGAGATGGAGGCATTAGCTTCACCTTTGGAGTTGAGGGCTTGGGTTCCAGAGCCACTGTGACTCCTCTAGCAAAAGCCTGGAACAGCCTTGTCTCCAACAACACTGTTGTGCTGCCTGGGTCTTCTCTAACTTTCTTGCAAGTACAGGCCTGAGTCTTTCATGGTTCCTGGGTTGACACTGGTCTGAAACTTCAACATCGATGGCAGTGGAAGAAGAGCAGGGGTGCTATTTTTAAAATTGTTATGTGTAGGCCTGCTATATATTTCTGTCCTCAAAGATAATCATGTATGCTTAGTGAGGATCTTGAGGTTTCATGGCAATTGCCATTAGCCCACATGGCGTGAGGCTGGGTCCTTGATGGAGAAATATAGGACTTCATCCTTGAATCCAAATCCTATCAACAGATATTAATGATCCTAGTAAATGAAGGAGGCAGGTTTCAGTGCATGAAAAATGTGCTCTGTGTCTCTTTAACTTCTCTATGCCCCATTGTCCTCAGCTATAAACTAGTGCTTTGGCACCAATGATTCCTGCAACATATACAGGTCTAAAATCTTCTGAGAAATCAGTCCAGACACAAAGGGCCTGACAAAGGTATACTTTTCAGCTCATTTCTGCCATGATTGTGTAGTGATTATTGTTAGCATCCCCACCTAGACCATGAGGGTAAATACACAACTGAATGAGTGAGGGAATGAAGGCATGGATGAATCCCTTGCCTACAAATTACACTCTAGAAGGAAAATTCCACATGTGAAACAAAATTTTGATTATGAGATTACGAAGAGGGTGACCAAAGGGTGAGACATTGATGGCTCCAGTGTGTAAAGCCTATCCGAGAATTCCCAAGGCAATGTTACTTTAGTACATTTTTATTGGCAAAAGTTTCTTCTCCGTATAGGTTTATTTTAATTTTTATTTTATTTGTTTATTTTTTTGAGACGGAGTACAGTGGTGCGATCTCGGCTCACTGCAACCTCTGCCTCCTGGGTTCAAGTGATTCTCCCGCCTCAGCCTCCCGAGTAGCTGGGATTACAGGCACCTGCCACCACACCCAGCTAACTTTTGTATTTTTGGTAGAGACGGGGTTTCACCATGTTGGCCAGGCTGGTCTCAAACTCCTGACCTCAGGTGATCTGCCCACCTCAGCCTCCCAAAGTGCTGGATACAGACGTGAACTACTGTGCCCAGCATATGTAGGTTCTTGAGTGTCTGAAGTGCCAGTAGTTCTTCTCACTGCTTGTTTTCCTTGGCGAGGATTAGTTTCTCAGAAATACTGAGAATGGCATGCATCGGTTTAGGTCTCAGTTAGTAAATGTTCGACTTAAATATGTCACACATCTTACACAAACTTCACATTTGTGTGTGTGAAGAGTGTTGCACTGAGAAAGTTCTATAGCGTCTATAATGCTCTGGGTATGAGAGACCCCATGCAGTCCTGGTATAAAGCAAAAGTGGGTTCCATTCAAAAAATAGTGAAACATTGTTCCAAAGTTCAGATCAACAAAAAACTCTAAATATCTTTATTATTTATTTCATAAAAGGATGGGAAAAAATCTACTGCTATGGGAAAAAAAATCTCCTTTGTTCATTAGTTTTCTTATCTGTAAAGCATAAAAAACGGAGGGTTCTTTTCTTTTCTAGTATCTTATAAAACAGTGATTACATATATTTCTTAGTTCACTGTTCTCGGAGCTTTTGTCCACCACAGGTAATGCACTTGACAAAAAACAAAGAGAATGAATTATTTGGCAAAATGCAGGGAAAGTCTCAAATATGCACATACTTTTTGACAACCAATTCCATGTCTAGGAGTTGATACTAGGGAAATCATGAAGGTATGCAAATATTAAACCAGAAGAATGTTAATAACAAGGCTTCCTTATAATCATGAAAAACTAGTAAATACTCAGTGATAGGAGATTATAGTAGATTATGGTATGTCCACACCAACAAATGCTAGACAGTGATAAAAAATGATATAGAAATATCTATGATGTAAAAATATGTAGCAGAAAGTATTCAATATATATTTATTTTTCAGTGAAAAAAGTAATAAAATATTATAGAAAATCACTCAATTTTTAATGTAAGAAAACTATAAGTATTGAAAGGATAGACAACTATCCCTTTGTTGGGGTAAAGTTATAGATAACCTTGCTTATTCACATCTTCTAAAGGTTTTTTACAATAGATATGTATTAGTTTTGCAACAAGGTAAGCAATTAAAGCTATTTTTAGGTAATTTTGTTAGTAGAAATAATTATGCAGATTAGTTAGAAGCAATAAGATAGCTTGCAGGACTCACATGATTCAACAGAATGGAGACAATGAAGCTATTCCCTCACCCACATTAATTTATGTTGGTCCAAATGCAAGAAACAAGAATCTTGTTTGAAATCTGAACCATCAGTTCTCAACCCCAGAAACAAAGGAGAGGCTGAAGTTAAAGTCACGATTTAGTGAAGATGAGTCCTGAAGGTAGATGACGGGCTGAATCGACTCATAAATGGCTGTGAAACAAGTTAGTGTCAATGCACCTGCAAGGTTTCAGAGGCCATTTTATTGGGAAGTATGGAAAATCACAAAATATTGACATACGCACCAAAAGAAAAAAAAGTCAAACAACGTGTTTCCTGAAATACTTTCCCGTTTTTCATCCCTTCAACAGAGTTATTTCTGGTGAAGAAATGTCATGATCAGGTCTGAATGCAGAACAATATAAAATTAAGAACTAAGTGCTTCATCAAGTTTCTGCAGGTGAGCCACCAGCTGCTTTGCATATACTGTAAGCGCCAGCCAATGAGGTTAACGACTCAAAAACCCGGAGTACAAGGAGAATACAATGTGCGAAGAAAGCGAGGCCGCCCTTGCTCAGGTGCCATGGGAGGACACAGATGTCGAAAACGGAATCTTTCCCGAGAGAAAACAACCATGCTTGCATTGTGTTTTTACAATTGCGCCCTCATGTAAATTAACTCAATATAATTGGGTCCTTTCCTTCTTTGTTTTTAAAAAAATCATTAATATGGAAATATGTTAAATATATACCAAAGTAGAAGATGATGTCAGAGAGGTAATCACCAGGCCACTAGTGCCCAGTGGCTATTGCATGAGGTAGGAGTCCCTGGAGGGTTCTGAGCAGCGCAGCAGCGTGATCTGGCTTATGTTTGAAAGGATCACTCTGACTGCTGCGTGGAAAGTCGACTGCAGGAGATGAGAATATAAAAAAGAAAAACGAGGTAAGAGGTCATTGCAATAATCTAAGGATGAGATGATGATGGCTTGGATTACTTGGTAGCAGGGAAGAGGTAAGATATACAGATTTTTCTCCTATTGTAAGAGTATCATTGTGAACATCTTAAAAATTAGTTTTATTGAGATGTAAGATACATACCATACAATTCATCCACTTAAAGTGCACACTTCAGTGGTTTTTTTGCAGAATTATGGAGTTATACAACCATCACCATAATACATTTTATAACATTTTTATCATCTCCTCCCCAAATCTCTGTACCTGTTAGCATTCACCTTCTATTTCTCACCCTCCTCAACCCTAGGCAACCACTCATCTACTTGCTGTCTCCATGGGCTTACCTAATCTGGACACCTCATTTAAATGGTGTTATACAACATGTGCCCTTTTGTGACAGACTTCTTTCACTCATCATCATGTTTTCAAGGTTCATTCACGTTGTAGCATGTATCGGTACTTCATTTCTTTTTATTACTTAATAAAAAGTATGGATATATCACATTTTGTTTATTTATTCATCAGTTAATGGAGATCGGGGGTATTTCTACTTTTTGGCTATGATGAATAATGCTGCTCTGAACACTCCTATGCAAGATTGCTTTGTGGGTATATGTTTTCATTTCTCTTGAATATACACCTAAGGCCCAAGCCTAACTCTAAACTCTAAGTTAAACTTTCTTCTAAGTAACTGCAACTTTTTGAGGAACTGCTCAACTGTTTCCCAAAGTGTCTTCACCGTTTTCCATTTCCATCAGCAATGCACGACAGTTACAACGACTCCTCATCCTCGCCAACATTATCTGTCTTTTAATCCTGAACGTTTTTGTGCACCATATTGCATTCTTGATGATCTCTTTCGGGTACATTTCTTGAAGTGGTACTGCTGGGTTACAGTGTGTGCACTCTACAAAGGCTTCAGCCGTATTGCAAAATTATCTTCCAGTGAGGTCTTACCAATTTGTAATTGCGCCAATAGTGTATGATTTTCAACTTTACCACATTCTCACAGACTCCAGGCATTATTATTGTTCTTTTTAGTCTTTTCCCATCCAATGTGGAAAAAATTACCGCCTTTGTTCTATGTCTTTGACATTGTTAATTTTTTTTTCTATGACATTGTTAATTTGAAATATGTTTAATGTGTTCATTTGGTGTGTCTTTGTCTTATTTTTGAAAACTTTTCATATATTAAGAGTCAAACTTTTGATTGTATATCTTATAGATAATTTTTCCAATTTGTTGTTTACTTTTTAATTTTCTTTATGGTATTCTTCACCAAATAGAAGTTTAAGTTTTTAGATAGATATATTTGTCAGTATATTTTTAATGGCTTCTACATTTGTTATCATGCTTAGAAAAGTCTTACTGACAAAAAGAACATATAAATATAAAACATATTTTCTTACAGTAATAGAATGTTATTTTTTACATTTAAAAATTACTCCACCCTATTGGTTTTTCTATTTATTTATTTATTTATTTATTTATTTATTGGTATATGGTGTGAAGTAGAGTTCTAACTCTCCTATCTTTGAATAATCCATCCTTTCCTCAATAATTTTTCAGGCAATTGTGAACATTCATTTAATTCTTATATGTTATTGGATCCCTTACTTTCTATTCCTTTCCATTAAACTGTGTATATTTAGGCTGTAACAATATTTTAACTTAATTGTTGTAGTTTAATAAAGGCATTATAAAATCTTTTAAGCCACACCAGTAGTCCCAGCTACTTGGGAAACTGAGGCAGAAGAATCGCTTGAACCCGGGAGTCAGAAGTTGCAGTGAGCCGAGATTGTGCCACTGTACTCCAGCCTGGGCAACACAGCAAGATTTTGTTTCTCAAAATAATAATAATAATAATAATAAAATAATAATGATAATCAAATGAATAGCAGTTTTCACTTAGAAGGACATGGAAGTTTATCAACATCCTTTAAAAGAAGGGGCTAAGAAACCAGTCCCAGATTGTCTAAGATATTAGACAATCTGTCCCAAAGTAATATTTCTCTCTCAAATAAAATTGTCTTAAAACATTGAAACAAAAGCAGAGAAACAAATTCTCCCTCTATGTAATCAGCCCCCTGTATCCACGAGTTTGCATCCACAGATTCAACAAACTACAGATTGAAAATATTTGAAAAAAATAAAAAATAACAATAAAAAATAATACAAGTAAAAAATACAGCAAAACAACTATTTACATAGCATTTACATCGTGTTAGGTATTATGAGTAATTTAGAGATGGTTTCAGGTATATGGAGGATATGCATAGGTTATATACAAATAACACATCATTTTGCCTAAGAGACTTGAGCATCCTGGAATTTCGGTATCTCTGGGAGTCCTGGAGTCAATAATCCCCTACGGATACAGATGGGTGATTTACATACTTGCTTATCTCTCCACCTAGTGGACTTCTTTTGTCATTACATCAGGCAGGAGCCTCTAAATGCTGGATGAAGGAGGGCTCTTGGGTAGACCTGAAGGAGGCTGGAGTAAAACCTTTAGAAATATTAACCACTAAAAAGATTATGGTGTCATCCCATGCCTACATTATTAACATTTGCTGATCAAAAGTAAATGTAAAGAATTCCGACGCGTATTTGATTTTTAAAATTTTAATTGTGATAACTATTGAAACTATCGGGGGAAGGAGCATGCCAGACATCTGATTTGTGCTCCCCTGCCTGACCCCTGTGGTCTCTGATAACTTCCTGGCTCTCTAGTATTATAAGAGATCCCAGGCTCATCTTATACATTTCCTGCTTAGACTTGGAAGCAACTGTTTCTCCAAGAAGGGCTGGTTTCTATTAGTGAATGAGGCATGCTCACTGCTACTGGATTGGCAGTTGAACTAAGAAATATTTGTATGCCAATAGATAGACGGACACACACATAAAATCTTTTATGAGTTCATATTGAGATTTCCAATTCAATTCCAAGACATTAGGGTGTGTGCTCAACTTCCCCTATTACATCTGAGCTCCTTTCTTCCACCTTGTGAATGTGAGTTTTCTTTTCTTTTTTTGAGACAGGGCCTCACTCTCTTGCTCTGGCTGGAGTGCAGTGGCGTAATCACAGCTCACAGCAGCCTCTACTTCCTGAGCTCATCTGTCATTTTCTCCTTTACTTCTCCAACCTCAGCCTCCTGAGTAACTGGGACTACAGGCATATACCACTCCACCCAGCTAGTTTTTGTATTTTTAGTGGAGATGAGGTTTTGCCATGTTGCCTATGACTGGTATCAAATTTCCAAGGCTCAAGTGCTCTGTCCACCTCTGCCTCCCAAAATCCTGGGATTACAGGTGTGAGCCACTGTGCCCAGCCAGAATGTGAGTTTTCAAAGACACCAGGAAAATAGAATTAAAATACCATATCTCATAATTGCTCATTTGTTTTGTGTTACATTACTCAACAGCCTCTGAATAACACCGCTAATACTACCACCTACATGATTACTGAAAGCATTAACACATTTTTATATATGCTTTCCTTATTCTTCTCTCATTTGCATTTTATTTTACTATTTTTTGTAGAGATGAGGGTCTCGCTATATTGCCCAGGCTGGTCTTGAACTCCTGGCCTCAAACAGTCCCCCCAACTTGGCCTCTCTAAGTGCTGGAATTATAGGCATGAGCCACCTGTTCCTCCATTTTTATCACTGGGCTGTATCTATATATATGTGAGAGCACAGATACACTGTACTCTCTGAGCCTGCCCCACTTACTGTAATGCTCCACATCAGTTCTTACTGTTAGTGTCTCTCTAGTCATGTGATTGTCTGAAGCTTGGTTTCCAGAAGATTCTTTAGGAAGTGTTCATGAGAACAATATTCCTTGAGTTTTTGCATGTTGATAAGAGTGGATGTCCTTTAGACTTGATATAAAATCCTAGGATGACACTTCCTTTACTTGAGCAGGTTAAACAGATTCTTCTCAAAAGAAGACCAACAAACATGAAATTTTATGTTGCCAACATACATATGAAAAAAAGCTCATCATCACTGGTCATTAGAGAAACACAAATCAAAACCACAATGAGATACCATCTCACGTCAGTTAGAATGGTGATCATTAAAAAGTCAGGAAGCAACAGATGCTGGAGAGGATGTGGAGAAATAGGAATGCTTTTACACTGTTGGTGGGAGTGTAAATTAGTTCAGCTATTGTGGAAGATAGTGTGGTGATTTTTCAAGGATCTAGAACCAGAAATAGCATTTGACCCAGCAATCCCATTACTGGGTATATACTCAAAGGATTATAAATCATTCTACTATAAAGACACATGCACACGTATGTTTATTGCAGCACTGTTCACAATAGCAAAGACTTGGAACCAACCCAAATGCCCATCAATGATAGACTGGATAAAGAAAATGTGGCATATATACACCAAGGAATACTATGCAATCATAAAAAAGGATGAGTTCATGTCCTTTGCAGGGACATGGATGAAGCTGGGAACCATTATTCTCAGCAAACTAATACAGGAACAGAAAACCAAACACTGCATGTTCTCACTCATAAGTGGGAGTTGAACAATGAGAACGCAAGGACACAGGGAGGGGAACATCACACACTGGGGCCTGTCGGTGGGTGGGGGGCTAGGGGAGAGATAGCATTAGGAGAAATATCTAATGTAGATGACGGGTTGATGGGTGCAGCAAACCACCATGGCACATGTATACCTATGTAACAAACCTGCATGTTCTGCACATGTATCCCAGAACTTAAAGTATAATAATGATGATGATGATGATAATAATAATAATAATAATAATAATGTTACTCCATTTTCTTTTAGCACTGCTGTCAAAAAAATTATCTTTTTTCCTTTATTTAAAAAAATCATATACTCTTTTTTTTTCTATGTACTCAAAGAAATTTTTTTCTTTTCTCTAAGCTCCCATAACTTTACAAGAAAATATCTGGGTGTTGGTCATTTGGGGGTTATTATTCTCAGATATTCTAAAAGTTAAAATGAAATGAAATGATAAAAAATGTGAGAGAAAGTGACAAATATTGAAGGTGGGAAAACGATCAACCATACAGATAACAGAAATTCCTTCAGGTATAAAATGCTCTTTAAATATGCAGTTTCAATTTGTCTTTATTTCTGGAACATTTTCTTGAATTGTAGTTTTCAGTGTTTGTTTTGTTTCATTGCTTTGGATTTTGTGGGTTTTTTAATCCTGTAAGGAACTACTATGAGCTGTATGTTTGATCTTTTTGCCCATCTTTAATATTTGTCAGTTTCTCTCACTTTGTAAAAATCATTTCATTTCTTTTAATTTGTAGAATCCCTTTTACCTTTTATTTCTCTTAAGGCATGATACTACATTCATATGCTCTTGAGTTTCTTCTAGTTTAATCTTAATTTTTGAAACTACTTCTTCTTTTATTTTGAATTCTTTCCTCATTTCTGAGTTTTGCTAATTCTGGTTTATGGTTTTTTTTTTTCTCACATCTTATATAATTTTCTACCATTTTGAAATGCCAGGTTTCACTTTTGTTCAATTTGTGGGCACATTTTTCCGTCACACTTTCATTGTGTAGAATTTTTATTCTGCTCCTTGGGTTCCTTTTTCTTATAATAACTTCGCCTGGGATTTGACTTTAATATTTTTCTCATGCTCATTTTCATGTGAAATTGATTTTTCTGAACTTTTTGAATGAGATAGGGCTCGGGAAAGTCATGCTAGCTCCACTGTGCTTCCTCTTCTGTTTTTTTTCTGATAGTTTATGTAAATGGCAGCTTGCTTTCTGGGATTTCCTGGCTCTATCTCCCTCCCTGGCTTTTGTCTGGAATTTATTTTTTCTTCCTCTCTGTTTGTCCCCATCCTGCTCAATTCTGACCTCATCCCCGCAGCCCCTCCTCAGTGTGGGCCCCATCCCAGAAGGGAGCCCTGCTGGGCCAGTGTCTAGTGTCCATAGGGCTCAAAGGCTCTGGATACTTCAGTCCCTCTTGCCCTGAGCCTCTTGCACTGACCTGGTATGGAGTCAGAAGAATCCCATCCAGTTTTAGTGTGCTTCTTAAAGTAGTCCGTTCTTTCTCGGGAATTCCTGATGGCAATTTGGGGTCCTTTTATTCTCAATTCCCTCAGTCGCTGCCAACACTGGGTCCATCATTGCTTCTTTCTTTCCCCCACAGACACCAGGCAGGCCCTGTGGCTTGTTGGTGGTCTGTATTCTGGGGTGCCAGGAATATATTTTCATTGAATTTTGTTACAAATGTTCATGGGCTTTTGTCTTTGCTCTCTAGTTGCTTTATTTTAATGTGAGAATATAGACAGAATGGAAAAACGACACTGCCTCTGCTACCATCTTCCCAGAATCCTCTCCATACCTGTCTCACCTTTTGGCAGCCAGAGGTAGACTGTGGCATGGCAGACACAGGATCTATTTTGATGAGCTTATCCAATGAGATAAGATATGAGAGGTAAGATAAGGGATGAAAAGTAAAGAGAACAAGCATTTTTAAAAAATCTTAGCATTACATAGAGATTACTTAAGTATACTTAGCACACAATTAGAAAAGGTACAGACACACAGACCTGACAAAACTGTATAAGATGATGGTGTAGCATTGGCTGGAAATAAAAAGAAGCCCAGAGAAAGACACAGTCACCAGGCCTTCCTACTCCAAGGTCTTCAAACCAACAACACTCTTCTCACAATTTGGGTCACCAAATTAGGCTTGTCCTTAAGAAGCTCAAAGAAAATTAGTTGCTATATATACAGTGAGTTTACATTCATACATATTCTGCCTCTGGAAGTGTAGAGAATTATCCCTTCCATTTGAGCAAAATTTAAATGCAGACAATTAGCTGAACCTCTAGAGGATAAATCTAGTTTCCTAGAACTTGTCATTTTGAGTATTAGGTTTGATGAGCACAAATTCTCAGAAGGCAGCTTTGCCTGCTGGTTGGAGCCAAAGTCTGTGGGATAAGGATGTACGGGCATCACTGGTGATTTGCACCTTTCTATGGCAAGGGATCAGCATGAGGAACCTCTCTGGAGAAAGCACAAAATGCATCCTGTAGCACATTCATCACAAGCCCTGCTGGAAGGATCTAGTTTCCAGGTACCATTGGTTTGGCCTGAGATTGGACTGTTCTGGGCAGTTACAATACATTTGCAATGGCAAAGCATTTTCTTATTTACATTTTGGGCATGTTTCTGTCTATTGGACTGACTTCCAATAGAAAAATTAAAAGTAATATGTATTCACAAAAAAAGCATGCTCCTGATTCCACAGGATTTGGCCAATAATCTGAGGCAGCTTATAGTCCTTTGAAAATATCAAACATGAAAACATAGCTCTCAGGGTGTTTTTTAAGGGCAGGAAGAAAAGAGCATATGAAATGGATGTCCAGGAATTCATAGGATTAGGGGTGCCGCTCTTTGGTTCATGGAGGAAGCCATCAGGGATGAACTGATGAATAGGAGTACAGCTGTTAGGGTATTCTGGGGACCACATGACTGCATTGAAGCCATTCATCTAAATGTCTTAGTTACAGTATCACAGCCACTTGGAATATCCCCAAACAGTCAGCAGGCACATCACCATGCTCTAAAACCATTACTAAGTCTTTAGTGACTCATAATAACTAAAAATGTGAATGCTGTGAGACAGATTAAACATCCAGATTGGACTTTAGGAAGAAAGAAATTTAGAAGCTCAGGACTGGGAAGTCACTTTTTCTAATTTCCTACCTCATGTTGAAATCTTGTTCACAATGTTCCCCCAAGGGTATTTTATGTCCCCAAGGGGCACTGTAATGGTCCATCTTCACTCAAACATTAGCAGAGAGGGAACCTTGTGTCAGGACTTGGTTTTCCCCCTTTCCATCCACACAGATTCCTTCACTGATTTCATTGATTTATGTGCCAATGACTCCTACATGTGTGACCCCAACCGCACTCTCCTGTGTGCTCCAGTACAGCCAACCACTGATTTGACATATCCACTTGGACGACTAAGTCTTAAACTTCACATATACTAAATAGAACCATTAATCTCTGCCCCCATTCCATCCCCTACCCCCACCTCATGCCCCTACCTGTTTTTCCATCACAAGAAATGGCACCAGTCTCCATCCAGTTGCTCAAGCTAAAAACCTAGGAGTCAATTTCTTTTTTTTCCCCTCTTCCCTCATATCCAGGTCATCAGCACATTCTATCATATCTATCTCCAAGATATATCTTTAATCCATTCACTTCTCCCCATCTCCATTGCCGCCATCTTAGTTCAAATCATTTGCTTAGATAATTTATAACTGGTCTCCCTGCTTTCATTTTTATCAAACCACCATCTACGCTCGGTAAAGCAGCCAGAGTGATCTTAAAATGTAAACCGAGTGATGTCTGTTTTCTAAATAAATCATCAATGTTTCCTGATACACTGTTGTAAAACTTCCCTCCCATCCCACAGGGCCCAGCATGACGTGGCTTTCCCTGCCTCTCTAGATGTGATACGCCTTCCTACTCCTGTCCTTTTGAGGTGTGCATTTTCTGTCTCTAGTTTAACATCAAGAGGAAACTATTGAACAGGATTTCATAATGACAGCTTCAGAGTTCAAGCTAGTGAGGTACAGAGACTGTTGCTCCTTCCCTGCAAAACAGCTCTGGAAGAATGAAGGTAAAGAAGTGAAAAAACGGAAATGAAAACAAAGCAGTGAGAAATGGCTGAAGAGTCTGAAGTCTGTCTTGAACGCATGCGGGTGAACATCAAGAAGGCAGCCGCAGACAACGTGAAGGAGGTCAGAGGAAAGCTCTCCCTGCTCTTGCCTTTTCCCTTCATACCTTGGGCAGATACCTTCCACCTGGACGTCTGCAGGAAGAGCCCAGCCCCAGGTGTGTATAGGAAGGGATAACTTGGCAGTGGCAAACCTTGCTGGGGGAATTTTGAAGATCAGTGAGCGCTGATCAGTCCCTCCTTGGACAATCACTCTCTCTTTCTTTCCCCTTCTTGCCCTTATAATCAGTGAGTTACAGTTCAGGGAACCTGACTCCTCCCACTGTGGCACCCCCTAAGGCAGCACTTCTCAAACTGTGGTCCCAAGACCAGCAGCATCTGCATCACTAGGGGACTTGTTAGAGATGCCAGTCACCAGGTCCATCCTGAACAAGCCATGCAAGAGACTCTGGGGGTGGGACCCAGCACTCTGTACTGTAATAGGCTCTCTGGTGATTCAGATTCACAATGAAACTTGAAAACCACCCCCTTAAGGGTCTGAAAGTGAAACACTGAGCAGCACAGTGGTAGGGACCAAGAGTGGGTCTATGATGCACAGGCTCCTGGCTGCCCTCAGAGTTTATTCCTTAACCTGTTCCTGAAATTCTCCGCCACTAAGCTGACTTTTGGCTCTTTATCCAAAAAATTACCAGAGTAACCGATTCTCCCAAAGAAACATGAGCTTACAGGTCAAAATAACTTCATAACTGAGGAGTACACACACTATAAATGAAAGACAAAAACCGGAACCATCCAAAGCAGAGGTATTACAACAGAAGTACAAAAAGATTTAAAATAAGTGTAACTCTACTTAAAAAGATAAATATGAAGCAATAATATGAAACATAAACAATTATATACAAATATTACATATGGATACAATAACAGATGAAACAAAAAACATAGTAAATTGGATAAACAGCAAGTTGAATGCAGAAAATATAAAAAATATATTTTTTTATAAATATAAAAAAATATAAAAGAAAAGCTAAGAGATGTGAGGGAGAGAAGAATTACCAATATTTGATACTATGCTTCCTAACAGGACAATAAAAAAGAAAATAGAAAGGGCAAACTATGTAATTTCCCAGAATTAAAGGGTGTCAAATAGGAGAGATAAGATAAATCCATCCTTTAATACAGTGAAACTTACCAACATTAAAGACAAAGTGAAAATTCTAAAGACTTTTTAGAAAGGAAGCAGATTACTCAACAAGGAACTAGAATGAAATGATATCAGAAGTCACAGTAGCAGCACTGGGTGTAAAAAAAGACGGTGAAATAAGATTTTCAAACATCTTTGAACCTATAATTTTAGACTCAGCTAAACTGTCATCTGAATCTGAAGCAAACCTCTCATCCACAAGATCTCAGAAGTTTTTTCACACCAAGACACCAAAACACATAGAAAAAAGTCTCCATTAAAAAGAGCAGAAAAATCAGATTGATACTGAAAGACATATGGAAAGAAAGATGAGGCTGGGCACGGTGGCTCACGCCTGTAATCCCAGAACTCTGGGAGGCCGAGGCGGGTGGATCACCTGAGGTTGGGAGCTGGAGACCAGCCTGACAAACATGGAGAAACTCTGTCTCTACTAAAAATACAAAATTAGCTGGGGGTGGTGGCACATGCCTGTAATCCCAGCTACTCAGGAGGCTGAGGCAGGAGAATCGCTTGAACCCAGGAGGTGGAGGTTGCAGTGAGTAGAGATCATGCCATTGCATTCCAGCCTGGGCAACAAGAGAGAAACTCCGTCTCAAACAAAACAGAACAAAACAAAACCAAAAAAAGATGAGCAAATATCTTGGTAACTTTTATTTTAGATTAAAAAAAGACTAGGCTCAAAGAAAAGAAAGTATATCCATAAAAATTAAAAACTAAAAATTGGGCAATAGTAATATCATGGAAATGAAGCTAGATAGGAGAGACTAAAGGGATGTTAGAACATGCTAAAATATTTGTCTTGTGAGGTGAGAGAGATAGATATTGATACGTTTAAAGAATCAATGGAGATTCTAAGTTCAGTGATAGTTATCACATTATTCCATCAGAAGAACATTAAGAAAATTTATGCAGTGGAATTCGGGAGAGACAAAAAATACGTTAAATGAAAAACAGAAAACAAAATTGCAGAAGACAGTTATAAAATTACACTTACCACCAGTAATAAAATGATTAAATTTTAAACTTCTAGAAATTACCAGATTAAAAAGAAGAAAAGAAGATCTACCTTCATGTTGTTTATAAAGAGGCTCAATTAAAACAAAAATGATGTAAAAAGGTTGAAAGTTAAAAGTTGAAAAAGATACCGCATGCAAATACAGTTACAAAGCTGGGGTATAATCTTAATAGGTGACAAAATACAGATGATGACCAAAATTATCATAAATACAAAAACGGACCATATACATGACAAGGGAAAAAAGAGAAAGATGGTATTATCATCATAAATATATACACTTGTCCCATGGTATCCCTGGGGGATTGGTTCCAGGACCCACTGAGGATACCAAAATCACATATGCTATAGCCCCTGGTATAAAATGGTGTAGTATTTGCATATAACCCACGCATATCTTCTGTATACTGTAAATAAACTCTAGATTACTTATAATACCTAATAGAGTGTAAATGTTCTACTGTATTGTTTAGGGAATAATGACAAGAAAAAAAAAAGTCTATACATGTTCAGTATAGAGACAGCCATCCTTTTTTTCCCGAATATTTTTGATCTGTGGTTGTTTGACTCCACAACTCATGGATATGGAGTGCTGACTGCATGTCTCTAACAGCTCAGCCTCAGAAAAGGAAGAGAAGCAATAGACTGAACCATAGGGAGAAAAAAGATTCCTAACCGAAGATGGATATTAAAATAGCTTTTTCAGAAACTGATCAAGCAGAAAAAAAGAAGCAGATATACTAAAGATCTGAAGACTGCGTTGGATGACTAGCTAAATTCAAAATACTCCAGAGCTTCCTCCAAAAGCATGATCCAGTTAGGTCACAACTCACTTCAGTATGAGACTAGGATGACATCCAAAGTGGATTTTGTTCCTGAAAGTACTAGAAGAGTCTATTATAATGCAGTACCTCTCACAGCGGGACAGTGCAGTAAAAACATCAAAACTGGTGTCACCCTGAGGTTCCAAGGAATTTCCTCAGGATACAGTAAAAACCCTCAGGGCTGCTGTGATGAAAGTTAGTCCTGAGCCTGGTGCTGTTTAATATTTCCTTTGTTAACCTGGAGGATACTATAATTGTTCAAAAAGAACACAGTGAATATCACACAGAAAGATCAGTGCTGTGGAGAAGATGATTATTATCAAGAGAATGACACAGCGCTACATATGCTATTTCCTACAGCTGGCACACTCCTCTCCCTGCTCCCACAGCACATATTTCTTGTCTTCTTGGCTGACCATCTCTCTGGTCTTTGCGCAACTTCGTCACACTGTCTGTTGGACATCTCTCTATCCTTATACTTATCACCCTGCACGATACTTATTTGTTTTCACATGAGTCTCATCCACTAGACTCTAAGTCCATGAGAAAGGGGGCCCTGATTTATTCATCTCCGTATCCCCACAGTCTAGCAAACTATCTTAGTAGATATTTATTAAGCGAATCAGAAACTCGTGAAAGAAAAAATTCTATGTTTAACTGCTACAAGAATTACAAGATTTAAAATAGTTGCCTAGCAGATGCTAATTTCACTTCTAAATAAAAATATATGCCTGAACAACCCATAGACCATAAATACTCGCCTCAAAACAAACAGCAAAGACACAGACGACCGGAGGCTTCAGTGACAAAAGCCGTCAGTCAGAGGTAGAAATAATATGCTGCAAAGAATTACCAAATGGAACCACCATTCCATCATGAGAAGTCATGAAGGACCTTTTCTTCGAAGGAGTTCTGTGTTTAGTAGTGGCTTTAGAGATGTTCTCTTACCCTCTTGCGTTTACAGCTGCATCCTGCACCTGCCTTTGGAAACTGAGGACACCCTGCAGTCAGCCCTGCACATCCCAAGAGCACCGACACTCAACAGGCAACTATGGAGCATCTCAGTGTTTCCTGTGCAGGGTGTTAGAACTGAGAAGCACTGGGAGAGGTATTTAGTACACAGGAAGCTTATAGCTTCATTCAAGAATGGTCATGTGCTTCCCACTGTGTGGTGCCATCTCTCCTGCTACACCCCATCTCACTTTTCAGAATCTCTTTCCCTGGAGCACAAACGTTCATCCTTCACTGTGCAGTGGAAGGCAGTGGGACACCTTCTTTCCTGTGCTCACTTGGCTACCTTAGACTGAGCTGCTAAGCCATTCCTATATCCCCAGGGCCACTGCTCAAGTTACCCTCTGACCCCTGTAAACAAGAGCTGCCTCCACCATATGACCCAGCCATCCCACTTCTGGGTATTTATCCTAAAGGAAATGAAGTCAGCAACTCATAGCAATGTCTGTAACCCCCATGTTCATTGCAACATCATTTACAATAGCCAAGATATGAAATAAACCTAAATGTTTATCAATACATGATGAATGGATAAAGAAATTGTGTCATATATACATGATGGAATATCACTCACCATATAAAAGAAGGAAGTCCTGCCATCCTTGTCAACATGAATACACCTGGAGGACATTATGCTAAGTGAACTAAAGCACAGAACAGCAAATACCAGATGTTGTCACTTATACGTGGAATCAAAAACAGTCAAACTCAGCTGGGCGCGGTGGCTCATGTCTGTAATCCCAGCAGTCTGAGGGATGGCCAAGGCAGGTGGATCATCTGAGGTCAGGAGTTTGAGACCAGCCTGGCCAACTTGGTGAATCCCCATCTCTAGTAAAAATACAAAAAATTAGCCGGGCATGATGGTGTGCACCTATAATCCCAGCTACTTGGGAGGCTGAGGCAGGAAAATCCCTTGAACCTGGGAGGTGGAGATTGCAATGAGCCGAGATCACGCCACCGCACTCCAGCCTGGGCCACAAGAGTGAGACTTTATCTCAAAAAAAAAAAAAAAAAAAAAACAAAAAAAAAGAAAAGAGTCAAACTCATAGAAGCAGAGAGAACAGTGGTTCCCAGAGGTAGAGTCAAGGAGAATGGGGACAAAGGGTACAAAGAGTGGGGATGTAGCTTAAAGGGTACAAAGTTGCGGTTATGTAGGATGAAGAAATCTAGAGGTCTAAAGTGCAGTATGAGGATGATAGTTAATAATATTGTTCCTAAACTGAACAGATTCTAAGAAAGTAGATTTTAGGAGCTCTGACCATAAGAAAAGGTAACTGCGTGAGGTGATGGATATGTTAATTTGCTTGACTGTAATAATCATTTCACTGTGTATATGCATATCAAAACATCATATTGTACACCTTAAATATATGTAATTAAAAATGATAAATAAAATATGTCACGGTTCACCAGAGTGAATAGAGATTTCCCCATATTGAATACATAACTCAATCTTTTAATGAAAGTTACATGTTTGGCCATGTGACCATGGTGAGGTTAGATACCTTGACTCTGAAACATGGTAGACATCATGATGACCAACTCCATGGGAAAACGGCCATATTTAATACACTGGCCCCACTGTATTTATTTGTAAGACCTCCAACCATAGGGTCCCACATAGCGACACATCATGCTTTTTTTTTTTTGAGGTTGGCATGAGTTTTATCAAAGGCACAGAGCCTGACCCCACTTCCCAAGACCAAACTGTTTTTCACCAAATGCCCCTGGGCAGTAAATATTTCCATTTAATGAAAATGAAACCCTTTTTTTTTGAGAAAGCATTATGTTTAATTCCAACAGGCTGCT